TAACAAGGGTTTTTTATCTGCAGATACGTCACATACATTGATAAAGATGGCGAAGACCAATTCGTCGACGTTTCATCGCTCTGTTGTTTTGGTGTTATTCATGCTGTCTTGGGTTTCACTTGCGATGATGATCAAGGACTCAAGGGGTTTAAGGCCTGAGTCAAAGGTGCGTTCTGAGCATATGAATGATTTGCAGCATCTCTCGCTAGGAGACCTAGAACAAAATGAATTTTTCCTCAAAACTAAATCTTGAGGTTTTCTTGTGCCTTAACATTTAATTATGATCACGTGACAAGTCTCGTGACCAAAAATTTAAAATGAAGAAAATTGGCAAATTGGTGGCGAATTCACTTTGTTGGGAAAACAAATTGGCATTTCTGAAAGAGGATAAACATACCTAACTTTCTAAGTTTGGAATGAATGTACGCGAAGTTTAAATTTGAAGTTTTAAACAATTCAAGATTAAATTTAGACATTTAAATTGACGTTTTCCCTCATAATTTATTATTGAACTGCAATGATCATTCCAAACGTGAAGTGTTAGATATATTTGATATGAATTAGAAAAATGTTTTTGCTCGATTTATTTTCTTAAACCGGCCACCAATTGGTCAATAATTTACGATTTTTAGTCACCTGATATATCACATGGCTTATTAACACAAAACGTTAAGGACAATGAGTTTTTTATGTGTGCCAATTTTTAATTTAGCGCTATCATCTATGCCGAAGTTATAGTCAATAATTCATTTTTCACAGGTAAACGCCTTAGTCCAAGGCCTTAAACTACTAGAGGATGAACAATTTTCCAGTGCTCGTAAGAAAATACCGTAAAATTCCGAAAATAAGCCCCTCCACATATAAGCCCCCCAAACTCGTAACGCAAAAAACCCTCCGTTAAATCGCTCCTCCAAATATAAGTCCCCCGGGGGGCTTGTACTTGGAAATTGCCCTCAAATACAAAGTAAAACAAGGCAAAAAACGGTAAATTTCCTTCTATTTATAAGGCTAAGCCAATCGATTTTGAAACGTAAATTTCCCTTCGTAGATAAGCCCTCCGAATATTAGCCCTCCAAAAATAAGCCCCTCAAAAAGGGCCTTTGAAAAATATAAGCCCCGGGGCTTATTTTCGGAATTTTACGGAAGGTCAATTTTCTTTAGGTCATTGAGACAGGTAACTGCTCATAAGTCTCTGGAGAAGCACACCACCTTTTACAGGTATCTTTAAGGAACAATAGTATTACCCCTTTCCACCCTGTAATCCATTCTGCAAACAGGGGGAGAAGCGGGGCGGAAATTTGTTAGGTTTACTTAGGAGCCTATGACTAGGGTCATGGGCTCCTGGTTTACTTGCGCACCTTAATATTAAGAGTAAGAAAATACCGTAAAATTCCGAAAATAAGCCCCTCCACATATAAGCCCCCCAAACTCGTAACGCAAAAAACCCTCCGTTAAATCGCTCCTCCAAATATAAGCCCCCCGGGGGGCTTGTACTTGGAAATTGCCCTCAAATACAAAGTAAAACAAGGCAAAAACGATAAATTTCCTTCTATTTATAAGGCTAAGCCAATCGATTTTGAAACGTAAATTTCCCTTCGTAGATAAGCCCCTCCGAATATTAGCCCTCCAAAAATAAGCCCCTCAGAAAGGGCCTTTGAAAAATATAAGCCCCGGGGCTTATTTTCGGAATTTTACGGAAGGTCAATTTTCTTTAGGTCATTGAGACAGGTAACTGCTCATAAGTCTCTGGAAAAGCACACCACCTTTTACAGGTATCTTTAAGAAACAATAGTATTACAGCTTTCCACCCTGTAATCCATTCTGCAAACAGGGGGAGAAGCGGGGCGGAAATTTGTTAGGTTTACTTAGGAGCCTATGACTAGGGTCATGGGCTCCTGGTTTACTTGCGCACCTTAATATTAAGTGAAGCCTAATACACTGTAGTGTAACAGTAAAAAATATATAAATATTGCCAAATTACCGCAAGGTTATTTAGTTTTGAACAAATTAAGCTCCGATTCCGCTTATCTGGACCAAAATGAAAACTGATTTCCCTTTTACAGCCATTCACCAAATGTTTTTTTTTTTTCAAATTCCCGTGTTTCGATCTTTCGAACCTGTTTATTTATTTTCCATATGCAAGGGGTCCGGAAAATCAGGATTTTCCAGTTTTTCTTTTCTTTTCTATAGCTGGTGTGGATACCGCAGAATGGTTAGAATCCGCCGAGGAAGCTAACAAAAGAACAGTTGTCGATCGTAGCTCATATAGTAAGCCCTCTTCAGTTACCGGAAAAAGACACGGACGCAACGGCGGCAAGAACGGTGGCGACAACAACGGCAAGAATGGTGGTTCGTCCGACCGCAAGAAAGGAAAAGGGAATAATCCGCTTTGTCCAGAATCCGAAGGAACTGGCTCTAAGTGCCCTACCAGCGCACAGCCAACTGATCCTGGTTATGTGTATATCATTGAAATGAAGGGGAGTGACGGGAGCATCTTCCCACCACCACTCGTTAAGGTGGGTTTTGCAAAAGATCCCGAAGAGCGAAGACAAAGGCTTATGGCTGGGAATCCTTTCAGATTGTAAATTTCAAAGAGGTTTAAGGTTTGCAACAAGAAGGCAGCAGAAGATCTTGTCAAAGAGGCACCAACAGCCCAAAATCATAAATTTAGAGTCAGTGGAGGAGGAACCGAATGGTACAAACTCCCGTCAGGAGGTATTGAAGCTTTTGCACAAATAGTCGAATGCGTAATTGATGAGTATCTCGATGTGAACAATGGTGGTGGCAGCAGCAGCAGAGGCGGTGGCAGCAGCAGAGGCCGTGGCAGAGGCCGTGGCGGGCACGACTTTTTATCGTCACCAATACCGTGTCTTGCTCCTAATCAAGAAGGCGCAGTCATGTCTTCGAATAACGGACATTTCAACCCACCATTTCCCAGCATTGGCGACACAAAATGGCGACAAGCGCTCAAAGGAAATGTTTTGCAAATTAAATTTAATTGTAAATAACAATTTCTGAAGCCATTACCAATAAAAACATACCAAAACTTTTCTTCGTACTGAAAGAAGAAAATGAATCTACGCTGAACATTTTCCTGCAAAAACCAGAGTCGATGATAGGTATTTTTTCTAACTCGACATTAACCTAGCTATNAGGGCGATTCTTTTTTAATTTCGGTTTCGCTGACACAGCTTTCGCAGAAATCTCGCTGTAGTCGTTTTCGTCGACAAAAGGAATAGCAAAATCGCTCTCCGCGTCTTCCCCCATTTTTTTCTGCGTCATTTCGTGAAGGACGCGTGGCTCTCAGCGTGGGTCCTCCACGCGGAACACATTCGCGCTATGTGATTGGCTGTCGTCTAATCACCCTTGAGATCTGTGGTGTTAAAAATAACTCGAGACGAATTACCTATGGAATAGGGTGTATATGGGGGATGCCCTCTCTGTCCCCTTTATAGTCTCTTGATTAAAGCCAATGACGTCATAGCCTTTTGTCCTTATCTCATGAGTAAAATACGCAGGAATCTCATAAAGATAAGGTCGCGTGCTATTTTTAGTTGATTTAGGTTTTCTAGTTACTTCAAGGTCGATAAACGTCTTCGTTTGCGATTGGTTAGTTAGAAAATAAGAAACGTTTTCATTGGTTAATTCATAGTTTCTGAGGAGTAAAGTCAAAATTGTCTGTGACTTAAAATCATTGATGCAAGTCCTATTTCCTGCTGCTGTGATTTTCCTAGTTCCGGTTCACTGATTTTTGGCGGGCAAATCGTGCATATTATTTTTTTTTAAATTTTATTTTTAGATCAGCCAATTATTGCCAGGGTCACCGCAACAGCATGACGCCAATTACTGCAGGCCCGTAACAGTCCCTCCCCCCATGAGAAACAGACCACCACACCGGGGACTACGTCCCCTACTCTTTACGAACAGTGTGTGGATTCTTTAACGTCCCACAAAATTTACATATGCAAGGGTTGTGAGACGGGGCCTACGGTTTTTCGTCCTTATCCGAGAAGACTAGAAAGTATAACCGTTTGCAGATGTCTTATAAAGGCAGCACTTTCTCCTCAGTTATTTAAAGACCCTTTTAGTGAGTGTTGGTCCGGCCAGGACTTGAACCAGCGGCCTCCCGCTCGGCAGACCGGCGCTTATCCAACTGAGCTAACCAGGCGGTGGGCAAAGGCAAACTAGCTCTTTTTAGCACGAAAGACAACGTTTTACTAATCCCAAACCCCTCCTACTCCTCCGCAATTGATTTATTTTCCCTTTTTGATTTTACATTTTTGTGATCATTTGATTAATTCTCATAGATGTTGCACTTGACAATCTATGGATATCGTTAGAAGAAAATTGATGTTGGTCACTATTGGGACTTGAAGGGTTAAGGGGTCAAATAAAACCCAAGCCACCTAGTTTGGTCTTCTTTTATTTAGGGCATCCTGTCCCTTTCATTTAGGAATCTTCCCCAGGAATAATTGGGACTGTCTCGGAGGATTGTGTCTCATAGAGAGTTAAGGAAGAGGACTGAAGAGCAAGGAAGGTTTCCATCTTAAAAGAGTGTCCTTCAGTGATTTGGTTACAATTTACTAATACTGAGTCCCAGTTCAAAACCCATTAAGTCCTTACTATATTAAAAGATACCAGAACTCTCATGAAACCAGACATCAACGCGTTTAATCCCCAATGTACAAATAAACATTCTCCAAAAAGATCTCTATACATTTCCTTGAAGAATAATTTCAATGAGAGAGTTCTTAAAGGATCAAATCTGATGATGATTGATGTTGGTCACCCTGGAGACTTCAGGGTTAAGGGACAAAGTGGAAAACAAGAGGGACTTTTTTCTTGAGCAAAAAAAGAAACATTAAACAGGCTGAAAGTCTTGTTGTAGAAGTCCACATATTTCCCATTTTCATTCATTTCATATTATTCTGTGTTCTTCCTGGCAACTTTCTTTCAACAACTTTTGAGTTGACTGGAGTCTTTCCAACTCTTGGCTTGTATTACTTTCTGGAAAATGGATCTGACCAGACCTTCATATCTGAAATTCAATCAGCAAAATAAGTTACCGAATAAACCTGAAACTTATCAATACTATGATGGACAAGGTGGGAGAGACTCTGTGCAGTGCACACATTTTTTTTCCTTTTTTGGACAACACTATAAACTTAGCAGTGTTGAACGCGGTATTTAAAGTTTGGTTCAGTTTCATGGTATAGACACTGAGAACCCTAAGAATGTCCCATTGAAATCTAAGACACTCACTTCCTGGCTGTATATCTTCCTGTTTAATATCTTTCCTTGTTTCCTTCTGAATTTCCTCTGCAAAAGATTTAAATTCAAGTTTAGCTCTTCTTTAACTCAAACATTACTTAGTAGTCAACTAGAAGTAAAGGTTTCAATGCCCGTGTAGTGCAGGATTAGCAGATGACAGCTGCAAGAAAATTGGGATCAAGGCAATTAGGAAATTACTAAATATTTTGAGCATCAGACATTCTGAAAGTCTGGAATACCAGCCAGAAGTCACTCTAGCCGGTATATATATACTGCGCATATGGTTACGTTCACTATGTCAGGCTAACAACACCAGAACGCCCTGTTTGAGGTTTGAGATAGAATGCCAGATTTGGGCAGTCTAAAGTTTGCCTTTGGGTAAGAATTATTTGGCAGATTCGAAGACTGGGTTTAATTATTGGTCTAAAACTAAGGGAAAGCTTTTTTGCTATTTATTCAGTGTTTTCAAAGATGGCAAAATCCACTTAATGGCCTGTAACTCCATTTTTGGAACTCAACAGGTTGAACCAGCTGGTTGGACTTAAAGATGGCAAGACTTACGTAAGCTATGTAAGATTTATTTAATTTCTTGTCCACATGAATCATCATCAAGTTAACTAAGATCTTATATAAGATGGTTTTAACTTGTTGTAACTTTTTGGGCTGATAATAATACGACAGATCGCTGATCACTATATTATTACTAGATTGTTATTGACAAATAACAAATTAAAATATCAAGACCGTGTGGTTTTTGTGCATTGGGCTGATTATACAACAATAATATTGTTTTCTAGCCCTACACTGCATGTTAAAGATGTTTTGAGCAACTGACTTTAAAAATGAATAGCATATTAATTCTCAATGAAATTGCAAATTAAAAGGGTGGCTAAACTTGACTATTCTTGGTTTGCAACCACATGATTAAGGCAGCCATGTTAGGGTCAATACAATAGAATTTTTTCTCTTATTTCCTAAAAGCATCTTTATCACTAGATCAGGACGATTGATAAATCTTTAGCATTATTTTGGTGCATTTTCCTGTCTGAAGGGCAGATGTCTTGCCCTCTGCTTGTAACCTTCTTGAGGGTATCACTGTTTTGCCCTTTTTTCTGTAAACATTTCACCTTACTGATAACACTAGAGATGTAAAATAAACAATGAAATATTGCCTTTTCCGCATATTTATGTACTTAAAAACTCCTGTAGAAAACGCAGGAAATGGTAATTTCTGAGCCCCTAAATTTGAAATTTTTCTGGGGGGAACATGCCCCCACACCCCCCTAGTTAGCAGTACCATTGGGGGTTTACCTCATTATAGGAAATTAACGATGCACTTTATTAACATGATTTTAAAAAAATTGCATAAATATAATGCTTCTTAATTTATGTCAATGATAACTCAAATCATATTATTTTAAATCACTGTAGTTTTACAGCACCTATATTTCAATAACAAAACCTCATCTGTTCATAGTTCCTCTATCTAGCCTCTGAGACACTATCTGACAGTTCTTCTTTAAGAATTGAGTTCAAAATGTCTTTTGACTGGTCTTTACATTCATCCACTTCCCCGAAGGGATAGCTAAGTTCTTCAGTCTTTCTTCGTCATGGAAATGCTGCTGTTTTTTCCTTTAGATATGTATGTTGAGAAGTTTGTATTGCAGCAAATTCACATAAAATAAAGTTAAGTGCACATTGTTTTCGAAAATTTCACGTTAATTTGATAACTATGTAAACCTGACTTTTGGAAAAAATTCGCATTAATTTTGTGTAACGCAAATTATCTTTGCATTGTCAATGTGCATCAATAATTTCCTATAATAAGGTAACCTTTCCTTCCATGCCTATTCCTTCAAAACCTTACACTATGCCCCTGGGTTTAGGAAGCCAAAGAAACTCTGCACATGGACATGCATCACACTTTTTGTTAACTTCTTTGCTGTCCCTGAACAACTACGAAATGAAATGCCCAAATTGTAATTTTATTTGAGAACGGGAACAGCAAGGAGATAAATTTTACCATCTTGCAAAAAAGTTCTGAAAGGATCTGAAGTCTAATTTTAGGGACATTTTCAATTACGTTGTTGTTGTATGATCGTAAAGTCTCTATTGATTAGGTTACAACCTCACACCCACCCTTCCTCCCCCGCCGCCCCCAGCAAAAAAATTAACAATGCCCTGATTAGCTGCGTAGCTGGCGGTATGTGTACTAGGCTCCCTGATTCCCGCCAAGCGAAACCCTGTCAGAGGGCCTCAGTATATCGAAGGGCCAATATGCTGCTAGGGTTCCCCTTCCTATCAAATATTTTTTTCAGTCAACCGCTAGAAAGGTACCAAAAGCTCATGAGCTATGGCTCTTTGAAGAAAGATGGAAAGTTTTAAGCTCGGTAACGAATGTGAAAGCTGTATTAAATAATCGACTTCCGGAACAAAGAAGCTAAGCTTACATTACCAATACTATAAAATACCGTGACTTACTGTAGACTTCTGGGTGTAGTTTTGGAAACACAACAACGGGATATAATGCTGCAAGGGTAAAAGCTGTAAATCCTGCGATAAAAATCCCCGTTTTTACTTTGTTAGACATCTCGATTCCTTGATTTTTACGTGCTGTCTACTTGCAGTGTTCTCCCCTTCCTACATGCGCCATTATTATTGCCAGCAATTCAAATGGTCAGCGTTTTCCATAAAATACCACGTGGTAAGACTTGAACCAATCAAATAACCGAGTTTGGATGGTGGGAAAGCGAAAGAGTGGAAAATTGGGAAACGCTCGCGTGAGAGATCGACCATTTTCACTTTCTCCCAAGATTTAGGTTACACAAATTTTTATCAGTTTCCCCCCATAAAATGTCCGAAAAACGCAACCCGAAGTGTTTCTTTGACATTTCTATCGGAGGTGAGAAAGGTAGGTTGATGAATTTTTTCCCTTCTGTGTAGCGTGAGGAAAATGTCTTACCACAAGATTACAAGCAATACAAGCGCTTATAAAAGCTGGTTTGGTCGATGTTTTGTGACTATGCCTGTACAAGCTAACAGAGGTCTTTATTTTCATTTAGCTAGTCCCGCTTTGGAGTAGCTACCCAAATAAGTTTTAGTCAGATATAGACTCGATATTTGTGAGCCTCAAGTCAATATTTAACATATTTCTTGGGGTCAATTGTCCTTCAGTCAGTGGCCATGTGCACTGTGAGGCCATGGCCACTAGTTCATCAGTGTGTACTGTCATGTGTTACCCTCATTAAATAAAGTTGCTACCTACCTACCTACCTACCTACCTACTGTGAAAAGCTGGTTTCCAGTGATGAGAGCAGTTGATAGGGCGCCTATATATGACCTAATAAAATTCAAATAAGAGTTTTTAGTGTCCAGAGCCATAAGCACAATCAGAATCTTAATCCAAATGATCAAAATGGTTCGGACCCATTTAACTGCTTAAATGATTGTTGGAGATATGAGCATGAGCAGAAGGATTAACTAATCATAATGCTTATTTCCACTCTTTTGTGATTGCTTTAGTCCCACTGCTTTTGCATGGAACTCTGGCAACTGTTAACCCACTCGCGAGAGGGATGAATACCATGTTGGAAAGCTGTTTTCACTACATTATAATGTTTCTGATAAAAACTCTGACCCCGCCTCCTTAATTAACTAGTGAAAACCACACAAAATACCTTTTTTAATTAGATAACTGATCTTGTTATCCATTCGAAATCAGTTAATTATGTTAGTGATTATTTTACATCCCAGTACATGTATGCTATTTTTCTTATGAAGCCAATTATCAATATTGGCTCATGAATTCAGCATGCGTATGTCAAGATTTCAAGCATGCGGAAAGTTTGGAGAGCTTGAAAGAGGCGTAAGAGTTGCCAAGGTGCTGTCGAGACAATCTTCTTGTGCTGCTCATGTATGACACTGTCTTTCTTCCCCTTCCGCCCCACACCCGCCTCCCTCCCCCCTCTGTTTGCTGGGTGTCTGGCTGCCTTTGCTGGGGACTCATGGCTAGGTTGTGATAGTACATGTATGAGTGGTTCTCAGTCAGGCTTGCCGGCCTCCAGTGGAAGTTCTTGGACATCCCAGGCACCTAACTGCCATTAAGTGATGCAGTTGTTACGGTTAGAATCTCCGTAAATGAATGTGAAATACCATAATAAAAAGAAGACACTGATTGGCAGTCTTGTGGAAGCTTTTTTTCCCCCTGTCTATTTTTTTAGTGGATAGTCTGAATGTAAATAAAGGCATGTTAAGTACCTCATTTATGTATCATTAATTGACCCTTAATATTTTCCAACAACATGAATCCAAAATTTTATGGAAAATTATAGTCAAACTATCCTCAAAGAAGAACAAATTTTTGTAACCATTTTATTCATGCATACGTCCATTATTATTATGGTTATGATTATGATGATGATGATGATGATGATGATGATGATGATGATATTATTATTTTACAGTGGGAAGGGTACTTTTTGAGTTATTCGCTGACAAGTGCCCAAAGACTGTAGAAAATTTCCGATCTCTGTGTGTTGGAGAAAAGGGTAATGGCAAAGCAACCGGGAAGCCACTTCACTACAAAGGCTCAACCTTTCATAGAAGTAAGTTAGAGGAAGAAGTAGGATAACTTAGGGAGGAATCAAAGGAGACAGAATAATATTTATGGAGAGATATTAATTCACTTAACATTTGCATTTCTTTGCTCAACAGACCAATCTGGCCAATCCGGGGAATTATAGGATCTGCATACAGCATATACATGTTATATTTACAGAATTTGTTAAACACTTTTTCACTTTGAACAATCATTTTTTTCAAAAGTAGGTTGAGTTTGATCGTCCAAGTAAACGTAGTCCTGAATAGGACTGTTGTTGTTGACAGTGACTGACGTTTCGACAACCTGTGCGGTAGTCATCTTCAGAGTCAAGTTGTTGAAACGTCAGTCACTATCAACAACAACAGTCCCATTCAGGACTACGTTCACCCAGACAATCAAACTCAACCTACTTTGAAATGACTCCTGGGTTCAAACCTTTCACAATCATTTTTTTGTTATTAGACTTTCAGATTTCTTAGTCCCCAGTGAAAGAATGAATGAAGCTTTATTTAATCTCGGGTTTGATGAGGTTGGTTAGACCTCTAGCAAAAATATGCTAATAAGCCGAGGGAAAAGAAAAGCAAACAAAACAAAACAAATAAATAAAATAACAGAGAAAGAAAGGGAAAATCTTACAACTTATTTACAGTATAAAGTCAGTGGTTTCTTAGTCCCCAGATTTTTTTTTTGTTAGTACATTGCAAGTGACAATCACAAATTTACAGTGTACCTTGTGAATTGTCAAGTTAGATATTTGAGAAATTCATATAAGGCTGACATAAACCATGTATTTTAGATGGCCTGACTGAGAAGTTTTCAGGGGTCAAGAATAGCAACCAGATTGCTTTTCATTTTTTCATTCTTTTTCATGGTTGAAGGCAAGCATTGCACATGAGTAAATAATGCATGCTATGCATGCCTTTCCACTTTTCAGTTCAACCACTGACAACAATCAGGGGAAAACAGGTCTTTGAAAGCCCTTGAAATATTGGGGGCAAAAAGTGTAGAAACCCTGTGTTTTGTGGTTTTAATTAACTGACAGACTTACATACTTGTTGGTTGTCATTGTAGTTATCAAGGGCTTTATGGCACAGGGTGGGGATTTTACCAACCATGATGGCACAGGAGGAGAGTCAATTTATGGAGAAAAGTTTGATGATGAGAATTTTGAATTATTGGTAAGTTATCAGATTTTTAGGATTTTAACAAAAGACAGATGATATGAATTCACAAGTTGTAGGAGAAAAGCAGTTGAAAAAAGAATCTCAAAAATTCAGGCTTGATTGAAGAGCTTTGGATGACCAGACACAACCAAGGCTGTGCTCTAGTAGCACCTGGTGACCCCTGGCCCCTAACTTTTGCTCCTTGGTGACTAGAAAATGTTAGATTTTTCATAGAAATCATCTGCTGGGCACCCTGGATTTTACATCATTTTGTTCTGAGCACTAGGCTGACTTCAATGTTTCTTAGAGCACATCCTTGACAATGCCTTTTTCATTGAGCTAACCAAGGTACCCTGTATTTAATGCAAGCAGGCCAACTGAACAGGGTTTGTACAGGTCACTGACAACCAGGAAAGTCATGGAATTTAAGAATTTCATTTTTCAGGCCTGGAAAGTCATGGAATTTAATTGTTGGTCCTGGAAAGTCATGGAAATTTAGGTTATGTTAAATTATTAACATAAGGTTATATTAAATAAATTAGATACTGCAGATGTCAAAGCAAGGATAATATAAGATAAAGATAGTAATTAGACAACCTGAATGGCACGCATTTTGGTGGCCACAAGAGTTTGTGTCTATTGAACTGTTTAAGGTCAAAAACTGTGCTAAAAGTGACAGCTAAACACTAGGTCATGGAAAACTTGAAAAAGTCATGGAAATATTCATGGAAAGTCATGGAATTTGAAGAGGTCTAAAGAGTGCAAACCCTACTGAAGGGCTCCATGCAGAAACATCCCCCAAAAAGAAAATGAGGAAGCCAGGAGAAGTTTTTGCTTGGATCCCTCAGTACCTCTGGTTGGCTTGAAGTTTCCTTTAATTTACTTAACTTATTTTCTGTAGTTTAAGCCCATAATTCATGAAAAACTTCTTAGCAATTTAGTAATGAATGAGGCTGAGTAGGATATGAAGAATTAAGCAGATTGAGGAGGGTGTTACCGGCCTCAGTGGATAACACCCTCCGAGATCTGCTTAATCCTTTATATCCTATGAAAGCCGAATTCATTAATTGCTTTATTATTCATTCAAAATAATTTCTAGTTTAAAAACATGCCTAGCTGCATTGATGTTAAGTTCATCTTCCGTAGTGTACGTTGAGCTTTGTCCAGCTCCACAAACATTCTCCAAATAGCAGATGTCACCCTCTGAGTTGTCTTCTTGCTGTTTTTGCCATGCTCTAGCTATTATTTCGCCTCGTTCCAGCTGTAGTTCTTACTCTTGAAACGAGTGAAATGTCTGACATTTTTTTTCTTTTTTCACAACCAAAACAACTCAATCTCGTCCCCAGGTCTTCTCGGTAACGGTGCCTTAATCTGTACTGAGCTTCATTTTTGACGTCACTTTCTTCCTTAACACAAAATTCTTCCAAATTTGGTCATCAGTAACTGGTTATGGTGCATTATGTGTGTGCTTTTAGCCAATCAGAATTGGGGAAATGTTTTGACTGAATAATAATGTTAATTAAGAATTTTCTTGTCTTTTATTTGCAGCATGATAAACGTGGAATGCTCTCCATGGCTAATTCTGGTCCTAACACAAATGGATCACAGTTTTTTATCACCTTTAAACCAACTAGCCATTTGGATGGCAAGCATGTAGTCTTTGGCAAAGTTGTGAAAGGAATGAATGTTGTTAAGGAATTGGAGGACACACCAGTTGATGGTAGTACACCAGAGAAGGTTTGTTTTTATTGATCTGAAAAGTGCTGTATCATTGAAAGTGAAATTAACACCTATTAGCCACTCAAAAAGACATTAGAGAACTCAATG